CTAATCTATCTATCTATTACGCAATCTATTACTAAGATAGATTCTTCTAGAATCTAGAGCAGCTAGTATATATAGAGGTAGAATAACTAGTAGATAGAGAGAAGAGACGATTATAACTATAAGAGCAGATCAATCTAATCTTTATCTCTCTCCCCTAGCACTATTTCTTTTCTATCAAGAATCTATCGACTAGCTGCCTCTGAGTCTACTAGAAACAAGTAGAAGGCAGAGACCTCTACCTCTGAGTTCTATTAGAACAAGCAGCTACTTCCACCCACTTATTCTAACACTTATGATTTTGATAACCCCCTACCGCGATTCCGTACTTCATCTACCCTAACCGCTAGGGTGGGGGAGAGTTGATATACGGATGGGAGAGAGGGGGGGACACATTATCTATCAAAGAAGAAACTTCTCATTTTCTTTGTGCTCTTGATTAGGTGGGGGGATACGGAGGGACACACCGAAAAGCACTTGCTTCTTAGAATTAATAATTGCTGGGTTTCAGATTTATCCCGCTCTTCTGCTACCCACCTAGTGAAAGGTGGACAACTTAGTCTACTTAACGATTCAATATCTAGTCTTAAAGTCGAGGAACTACATTTGTGGGACTTGAAGCTTTGCGAAAAATTGCATTCGGCACACCGTTGTTGAAAGGGTGTCGTAACTCTCCTAATTCCTAAGTTCTTCTACCTTGTCTTGTTCCTCTTATCTCCCTCTACATACTTCCTATGACCTAATCATCAATCCAACTGCCGCATATACCCAAATCTAGTGACAAAATGCCTTAATCGAGGAATATGCACTCGTATCCAAACAGTTATTACGGACGTGCACCTGCTTCTCCTCACCCGTGCAGTCCGATTCTTTGTAGATAAAAACTAGAGATTGCACATTTGTTAGCCTTCCTTCTTGGCACTATTATATATCCACCTCATAGCCTTCGGGTTTTCTCGATATTCACGTTTTTACTTACCGCGACACGAATCTGTAATTTTAGTTATATCTAGCCTCACGCCAGGCAAGTAGGCACACACGGCGTCGGGATTGTGAGAATAACTCCAAGACCCACGGTCGCAGTTAACCTTGGCAGAATAGCCGAATTCGTAGGCAACGGGTTCAGTCTGTTGAGCGGTGCTGATGGTGAGGATGGTGAGGAGAACGGTGGCTGCGGTAGTGACCATCATGGTGATTTTGTTCTTTTGAAAGATTAGATGTTAAAGTGTGCAGTGAATCGAGCCTGTGTTTATTATTTTACTAGGCTAATGACAAGCCTTATATGTAAATCCAGAACGCAGTTACAGTTGCCTTAGTTTGAAAAGTGTTTACTCTTACAGCGCTGGTATTTCAGCTCGTAGATTCACCGCTTGTCCCTAAATTTATCATTGATGTTTTGAATAGGGTAATAAGCTGACGACCTGATCAGCAAATGCTTAGGTCATGAGCTGATTGCACTCAGCTTTGAACACACCGCAAACACGTCATCTTGATATTTAATATCTACAGAGCATAAGCAGTATCCATACGACCTAAGTATAAGACACTTACGCTGAAACGTATTTAGGGAATACAGCTTGTAGGGTGGATGCCCTAATTAAACATAAGAGAGAAGGTTCTGTGTTCATTACCAAATCTAGTATTCTAAAATATATCAAGGTGTAGCGAATAGCTTGTATTAGACAGCTTTCGGTTACTATGGAAAATGCTGACTGTTACCCCTCATGCCTCAGCCGCAATATTAGTAGTCGCACAACAGCAGGCTATCTGAGATCGACAACTAATTAGATCATCAGCTGATCAGGTCATCAGCTTATTAGCTGTTACAAGTAACAACGGAAAGGACCTCCTTCCTTGTGATGTTGGTATAGTGGTTAAGAAACCACTTGGGATACTAACCGGAAACAAAGGACATCGCGGGGCTAGATCACGTGATGTGCCATCACGCCAAGATGACCATCAGACGCTAATGCCCGATGGCAACGACCCTCTGATGGCCGCCATCAGAGACATTAAGCTAAGCACAGGATAAGTCTGATGGCACTGATTGCTAGAATAAAAGCAATAAGGATATAAGGATAGATAGACTTTATTATTTACTCTCGTTATAGTTAACTTAAATTATACTTTCTTACTAGTTACTTAACTTAATGTAAGGGGCTGCGCTCCGGGGAGCAATCGCGAGGTATACAAGAGGTTGTATTCGATGAAGAGCTATCTACTTCGACTTACGTGATGTTTATTTACTTATCGGAGAAAGGTTATACCGGAGTGTCTGAGCGCTGTCTGGGCGCTGCTCGGATAGTAAGCAGAATCTGGGTACTCGGAGTAGCACCTGGATTCTGCACTCGTCGTCTAAACGTAGTCCGGATAGCGCGCGCGTAGCTTAAACTAAGATTCTATCGAGAAGCTATCTAAAGGGCGTTCAGCCCGTTACAATACCCCCCTCCTTAAGAGATAGCCCCCTTCTTCTTTGACCTAAAGAGGGCGTTTATTGTAGGGCTTCGTGCAGTAGTTTTTGTTCTTAGCTGGGCTGGTCAGGCTGGGCTGGCCGGACTGGGCTAGCTGGTCTGGCTATGCGGGATTCAGGGCAGGACTCTATCCAGTGATCGGCTGATCCGTAGCAGAGACAGAGATCGTTAAGGAGGCGATACTCTTGGCGATCTGCTGAGGAGCTAGACGAGGTAGAGGAGGATCGGGATCTGGAGGGTGTGAAGGCGGGCCTAGTAGCGTTGACTCGGATTGAATTGATATCCATCCGTTGGCTGAACCGGTTTCGGTTGGGCTGGCTGGACTAGCTATACTGGCTGGGCTGGCTAGGCTGGCTAGAAGGAAAACGCTTCGAGCGCCTCTTTGCGCTCTACATAGTCTTTACGTACTGATCGTACGTAAGGCCAAAGAGAGAGTCGTTTAACTTCTTAAGCTTCTACCTAAGCGACTGTTGGAGACAGTGGTGTAGCGTTGTAATGCGGGAGATATCTGCTTATAAGGAAGCCTTCGCTTCAAATAATAGCCGTTCGAATCGCGTAAGGTAGGCGATTAGCGACTTATTATCCCTCTAGCGGATCTAGAAGAAACGCTAGATTGCCTCTTACTACTTATGTGGATTGTGGCAGAGGCGCTAGAAGAATGAGAAAATATATTCTAGATCCTAATCTAAAAGCTTCTTAGACTGATCGCGGAGATAGAGGATAGACGCCTGTTAAAGCTACTTAAGACGATTCTATATAAAGTCGAAGGCATTACCTCTTGTAAGCTAATTGGATTCAAGTTTAGCTCTAATAGATGGTAGCTATGTACGTAGCGTGTGCGGTTCACTATTAAATTTAGGTGGGTCTAGTAGACGCGCTCGGACTCGCGTCTAAGCGTCGTTCGGATGCTAGCGGGACTGGAGCTGGGATTGGAGCTGGAGTTAGAGCTGGGCGACGCTGTCGCCCAGGGAGGTGATCTCGGACCGCTGGTTCTAGAGCTCTTGCTGGATCTGCTGTATAAGTAGTAGAAGAGCGTTCTAGTTCTAGCTAGGGCTAGACATGGTTCTAGTTAACAGTAAAAAAAGATTCTAGTAAGGGTTAGACGCTTGTCTAATCTCCTCTCGGCTAGCTAGTGATCGAATATAAAATATAAGGGGCGTAACCCTAGGAGAGTAGTCTTAAGCTCGGCAGCATAATCGGACAGGCCTAGGTAACAAGATTACATTCGATAGAGAGGTAAGCTATCGGCTATGTTGCTATCTATATACAATAATAGTTGCTGGAGTGATAATTAGGCCGGGCAGGTAAGGTAGACGAGGTCGTAGACGAGTATAAGAGGCGAAGGGCGTTCAGCCCGTTATAATATCGACTACTTATCATCAACGGCTATAAGAGCTACTACTTACTCGAATTTTAAGATCTTTATAAAGAGAAGAATATTGTTCTTCTCTATATATCTACACACTCGTCTTACCTATTATAGCCTCTTAATATTGCCTGCTTCGCGCTATTAAAGCGCAAGTATAGCGACGTAGTTTTAGCCTTAGTACGTAACTACACTAACTATATTAGTAAGGAGACCTTTCTACAAGCCTTTAAGGCTGGTTTCGAGCAGTCTATTACGAAGGAGAATATCTCAGCCGGTTTTAGGGCTGCTGGTCTAGTCTTATATAACCTATAGGCTATGGTATTAAAGCTTAATATAGTAGTGTAGACACTAAAACAGTTACCACGACGGGTAGATATCTAGAAGAAGCAGACGCCGCGCAACGCCCGCTGTGACGGGTGTAACGGCGCAGGCAAGACTACTCGGATCAGTATCGGCGGTAGNGTCACTCAGAGGCATATNGGAGTGCGTGGGACATNAAACGAGCCTTAATTCAAATAGACACCTATAGGCCTTGTACAAAAGAATATTAAAAATCTACCTAATAAGCTATTATAGAGGTTAGGTTTATATAGTCGTTTTTTCTACTAGGCTAAATCGTACTCTAATTCGGATCCTATTTAGAAATATATAGGAACGGGTACTAAGCCGTTATACTACCCCCCCTCTCTACTAATAGCTTATNCTAAGCTATTAAGAGCTTTTACTATAAATTATTTACTCCTTTTAGATTATATTATTAGGTAGTAGTCTAAGACCTAAAATGGTATAGAGGTACTATTAATCCGCGCATATAATATTAATCTATTTATTTACCTATAT